AACTACTGACTCTACAGAATGGTTCAATACCACTTTAAAGGATATGGTACAAAGCACATTATTCCAAGGATAGAAGTGCTAGTATAAAATGTATAAGTATCTTGTATTCCTATTTTTATAGGAACACTAATGGAATACAGGAAAAAAAATTACAGCAATGATATGAAGTGATAGAACTGAGAGAATATTATCAAAGCTTTTCTGTCAATATTGACTCAGTAACCCCATGGGCTCACTTGGCCTCTGTTCCCACTTCTTTACCCTAGAGTGCAGAAAAGATAGAGAATTCCATCAAATCAAACATCCGTGTTATTTATACTGAACGCTAAAATGAACTGCTTAAAAAAACCCTAAACAACAAACAGCAGAAACAACCAAAGCTAACGGAAGCAACCAAAGAAAACTGCAAGTGAGGTGTAGACAAGCCATAAAGAATAATAAAACCACCAGACATAAATGTATTAATCACTTCACTGCTGCCACTTGCTCATTGTTGCTCCCTAGCTCACACAGCCAACTCTATTCCACAGAAGAAAATCTTAGCCTATTCAGAAAAGTGGCTTCAATTTTGCATGATTAGGTCAATGAAGAATGAGAGATGGACCTTACAGTCCTGACCCAAATATGACAGTCTTGTTATAACCTTTACATTTGATACTGTCACAACAAAATTATTTTGATGCTATGAAACCCTAAATGATGCCAAGATCTGGTGGAACCACCAAACCTAGAGCACTCTTGGTTTGCAAGAAAGCAAAAACAAAAGCAAAATGCCTTTTCAGGAGGCAGTGTGAATGCAAATCCCTCAATAATCTTTAAATATTTTGATAATAGGATGAGTACATCTAGAAAAGGTTCAAATAGGAACTGTAAAGGTATTTAAAAGTCACCTTTTTTAAAAATCAGGGTTTCACTATTCTTTCTATACCAAGAAGGAAGATGGGGCAGGAAAAGAAAGATCTCATGAAGTAATGAACAAGGTTAAGAATACCTCCACATTATGTATGAGCTACAGAAGAAATCTTTGTCTCACATAATGTAAAAGATGTACTGGGAAGGGGGAAAATTTCTTTTAAAAGACAAGGATCTGCTAAAAAAATGATATGTATACGGTCAAAGGGTTTTTTTGTGTGTCTTAATGGATAATTTTAATGTTGTTTGGAACAACAGAAAATGTACTTTGAAAAAAATAATATTTTGAAGTCATTGACTAATTCATTCACTGCTCACTGACCCTACCAGTGAGGCCAGAGATGGCAAGAGGCATCACTGTAAAGAAGCAGAGGACATTTCTGGGAATATCTCTCTTACATAACCACAGTGCCAAATGAAGAAATCAGTTAAAGACAATGGAATAAAATCTCAACCCAGAAGAGAAATGGCACCAGCCATGGGACAGATAGCAAGGGGACAATCCCAGCTATCTGTGCCAGCACCTGAGGACATTCATGAGCCCACTGAACATGCTGGACATTGCTTTCCCCAGAAAAACTCAAATTCCTCAAACACAAATGAGGTAAATCCACTCGGGACTTGCTTTGGAGAGGTATTTGTGCAAATGGAGAAAATAATAACAGCTGTGACAGAGAGATGAACAAACTGATGCCCATGGTATGTGCTACTGCCAAGTGGCACACAAGACAAATTGTAGGGAGCACTCGAAACCATCCTTCAGACAAAAAAAGACCTTCAAGTAGTGAGGGGAATCATGAAAGTAAATGTGCAACAGAAGGGGCAAAGAGACAGAAACTGCCATCTCTGCTTCATGACAAGGTTTGGCTTTTGTTTTGCTCTCACTGTTGCTGCTACATAATTTATTGGTGACTGAGGCAGGTTTTAGGACAGTGTCTACTGAATGAGCCACAAGGAATAATTTATAACTTCTGAGGCTGCCACAGTCTGGCCTCACTCTGCAAGACAAGACCCCAAAGAAAAAGTTTGCTAGACTTGGCAGGAAGTGATCCTTGGGAATTCATGGCAACTTCTAACCCTTCATAGTCCAAATAACACAACCTCAGCCTGGATTTCAGCTCATCCAGGGGGAGGATTGCATACCAAAGTCCTGTGTACTGTGAAGGTGTTGTAACCTTTGATGAGATCTCACAGCAAAAGGACCAAAGGACCATTTATCACCCCTGATACTTATTAAAAAGGCTAAGCTGACTCCTACATATAATTGTGTTCTCTCTTAAACAGAAAACAGGTCCAGCTCTGCACACAGTCCCACCCACGCAGCCCAGTCGTGTCCTGGAGCAATAACTGGTAGGAGTGGAGGGCAATGCAATCTCTCCTCCATAACATGAATTTAAACTGTCAAAGCATCAGCCTTGATGAGGTGTCTTCTGATGCAATTTAACTAAGAAACACCAAACCCTTGATTTCGATCCCATTAAGTCACAGTTTGGCCAATGTTATAAACACCGAAAAACTGAGGTTCATGTTTGCTTTGTACACACTAAGTAGCCATCAGGTGGAGACTGCTTGAGCTGATAATCACAGATGGGAGCCAAACTGCTAACATGGGATCTCCCAGTCCTTGTCACCTCTCAAAAGTGATCAGACTATTCAGATGTGACTGTACTACTGTACCTGAACACCCATGGACTTTTCATTCATTGACCCAAGTCAGCTCTCTTAGGCTCTCAAGTATGGCTTGAAATCATATACAGTGTACAACCCAGTGTGAGATTAAATTGTCTTAGTCCTTTCAAAGATAAAGAAGGCAGAAAGTTGCAGATGACCTTTTGAAATGCCCTGATGTACAAAAGAAACAGCAAATCCCAAATCTTTGTGTGAGTTAAAGTACTGACGTCAATGGGACTCCCATGGGAAGTTTTGGGAGTCTGCCTTAACAAGAGCAGAACCACCAAATAGGACAAAGTTTTGACTTAAACCAGGTCAGTATGTCAAAAGTCACAAACAAAGTCTGAGGAAAAAAAAAAAGGCCAAAGAAAATGTCCCTTGGATTAATTTTTAGGAGCAGCACATTGGGCTTTTGAAACATCCACCAGCCATCTACAAAAGCAGCCATGGGCTGACTACAACAACTAAACTTGAAAGGGGAAGACATTCCTTTGTAGTTCATATTTGCAGGCTTTGAAGTTACAGTGAGTCTTATCAGTGACTTCAATGGGACTAGTTTTACACTTTTACATTAGCCATTGTTTTATCCCTACTCCTTTCAAAATTCCAGACAATAACATTTCTTTTTATTGTAATCCTGACAGAGCAATTAGGCTCCAGAAGACACCTGCACCCAACTTCTGTTCTTAACACAGCATTCTTTGAGCTCCTCTTCTCTGAACAGAGTTATGAGAGCTGAATTAATGGTGTCTCTCTGCTCTATCTGCTGCCTCTGTGTTTCATGACCTGCTGAAGAACATGAAATTCTTCAAGGCTTGTACAGATGATCTTTGGTTAAGACCAGCTGAAAGTTTCATCTATGGCTTTGTTGAGTGGGCTTAATAGAAAAAGAAAAGCTTCTTTTTGTCAGGGTAATTAAGCAATAACGGAATGACAGAATGTAGATTAAAGTCTAATCATTTGCAGGTGCATTCATAGCCATGAGTTTAGAAGCTGAATCACATTCCCAGTGTAACAAGCTGTGAAATACTGCTTCATAATCTTAAAATTTTGAAAGCATTTTGGAAATAATAAAACATTTCCTTTCTATCTTTACCATACAAACCAAATATGCACACACCACAAACACTTGCTGAGAAAACACGAGGTTCACATCCCTTCAAGGCATCCCCAATCTCTCATCTTTTTGGTGTTCAATGTGTAAGCCTCAGAGCTGTGTCTGCACAATCCTTTAATCCAATCCTCCTGTCTAACTCTGGGCCACAATAGGACCAGCCCCTGCTCCCTTCCTAGTGCCATTGCAGCCTGTGATAAAGGAAAGGAAAGGTACCCAGAAGAAAACATTATTCCCAATGTTTGCTTGTACAGCTCCTCCCTCTCACTCACTTAGGGTGAAACTGGATGCCAAACAACAAATCCAAAGTGGGAATGTTGGGTACTTCCAAAACCCACAAACACACCTCTACCCCTGGAAGTCCAACCATGAGAAGAGTGAGGAGAGGTCAGTGCAGAGCCTACCTTGGCTGCAACCCATGGCACTTTGAAGCACCTTTGGGCTATGGGTTGATATAAACAACAGCACACAATGTTGCCCATAAAGAAGAGTGAGGGATTTTTACAAGATACTCCGTTTCACAAAGCTGCTGCACAGAGGGATTCTGCAACACAGAGCAGCTTGTTTGGGAAGGGTAACTAATGGGATTAGTACCACTTACTCCCCATCTTCTTATGCGATTTATTTTTTGCTAAGCCCTTCCAAGCAGCAGCTTCTCCTCCACTGCTGCATGGGTTCACCTTGCAGTGGTGGCAGGGGAGCCCCAGAGAGGAACACACCCTTTGGAGTGATGTGGATAAGAAACCCAGACACAAATAACATGATGCTTTTCCTTCAGCAAAACAATCCCCGTGACAAACAGTAACACCACTGAGTTCAAAACACAAAGATTATTTTTTTTCAGCTTTCTGTAACGTTTGTTACAGGACAAGACCACAAGATTCATTTATTTATCTTGTCACTGACTTTCCAAATGGTTAATTAGATCAAAATGAATGGCAGTTGTCCTTTGAAATATTTATGAATCAAAACTGATGTGGCACTGACAAGGCCCCATGAAGTGATGTAAAGAATAATTTTGGCCAGTTACTTATTAAGGGCTTGATCCTGCCCCAGAATCTGTTTTACTTAACAAAGTACCTATACTGTGTACTATATTCACAGGTTTTTTTTCATCTTAACATGACCTGTGTGCACAGAATCAGGCACAGAAGTAGCAAGAAGGTGGTCTAAATATATACTTATGCTTGTAGATTTTCCTGTTTTATAAAATAAAGAACACAACAAAATTCCTCAGCATAATCTATAGACTTACAGCTATCTAGTGGATGGTACACAAACAGAGACATATAGACAGGAGGAGCTACTTGCCATCAACACAGGAAGGTCTGTTTCTTGTAGTCCCAGCCACTTTCCCAGGTAGACAGGAGCATTTTACTGTTTGTGATCTTTCCTCAATTCGATTCTTATTACAGCATCTGTGTGCTGCTATAACTTCACACGTTCCTCCTTCTGGCAAAAAAAAAAAAAAAAAAAAGGAAAAGAAAAAAAAAGAAAAAAAAAAAGAAAAAAGAGAATATTGACACTCTGATTAGGAAGAGCAGCAGTGGCTAATCAAAGCACCCAGGCGTGCTCCTGTCTGTGCCTCTGCCCAGCTTCTGACAGGTGGGATTACAACATTATTTCTCCCATTTTGTGTGCTCCCAAATAAGCCACATTCTGCTAGACTTCATTTTTTAATAGAAAATGTAGATAAATGTCCCTTGCCTGTCTTATATTAGAAACTTCTCTGACAGCCCCATAATTTTTGGCCTGAAAATGACTATGTCAAGGTCTGGGCCTGAAGAAATGTAGGTAAAATGCTATAGAAAATGTGTAACAACTGTTGGCTGATTTTATGCTTCTAATATGGGAGGTTTCTTCCCCAAATATTCTCTCATAGAGGTATGGGGACTATGGGAATCCATCTAGAAATAAGATTTCTTTCTCTTCAAATATTTGATCCTGTTCTAGCACTCAGCCCTTAGGGAATGACAATGAGTCTCTCCAAATTACAGTGTGGTCCAACAGCTCTTCCCTTTGCTGCCCCACTCACTAAGTGGCAGTTTTAAGGCAGGAAACATTCCCATTGTGTGCAAGATCACCAGGCTTAATTTGTCTTCTCCCTAATAGTTCTTTATGACCATTTGCAATAGTTTTATTAGACAGAGAGCACAGAGGAGTGATAGACAGATAGACAGTGGCTTTGGGTTTATGAGTGCTTGGTGTTTGTGGCATATGATGAGCATGGAAAAGAAGTGTCAGGTGTGTCATTCCCCTTCACCTTAGCTCTGCAGTGCAAGGAGATGAGACACCACAGTGGGCTAATGCACTGCCCAAGTAATTTCTCCATCCCTCAGTTCAGGCTGCATTTAGCTCATAATCACCCAGTGTTTAATAGTGTCAGTCTGTTCCCCACAGATATCTGGCTACTTTATGAAACTGCAGCATAAATTTGGCAGGATTTGTTTAAACTTAGTACAGAACCTCATGCACAGCCCACTAAAGAGCAGGATGTGTAAGAAGCTTTTCCAGAAGAGCATTATTTCTTTATGCCATTATGAACTGCTAACTGTACAGTGCTTTTACTATAGCACAAACCACATGATTCATCTCTTTGGCTTTCAATCTTTTTGAAATAATTTTGGAAGCTTTGGAACACTATAGTACCCTGCAGCCAGGTAGAAGAATCAGCAGTGTGGAGATCCTGATTCACAGCCAGCTGTGAACAAGGGGGTTTGGTAGAGGTCTGGGGGTCCAGTGGCATCTCCCTGCTCAGGATTGAGTCCTGTTACCTATGGATTCTACAGCTGTGAGATTTCTGCAGTGAAGCACTGGGGGAGGTGAGCAGGGAGGAGTCTCCCTTACCTGTATGTTAAGCCCATATGGTGATGTGCCATAACATGTACCCTGGAGTATTAAGAGGTACAACAGAACCAATGAACAGAGACTCCACAAAGTGTGGAAATGCATTATAATATTAAATTTCATACCCTGACCTTCCAGGGTGAGTCAGTGGTCAAAAGCCTGTGAACATCCATTAGGGTAAATGAGCCTGGGTTGTGTGGTCATGGGGTTCAGCACTGATGAATTTGCAAGCCTGAGACTAACTCTGTAGTAAATATTGAAGTCATCTGGAGAGACATGCTGCTGCATACATTAGTTATTAGGTGTGTTTGGCCTGCTGACACAAGCTTTTTGAAAGCCAATAGGTGTCAGAGAAGAGAGATCCAAACAATTCAGAGAGCCATCATCTGACAAACAGGCTTTGAAGTGTCTCTTTGGAGTAAGAGGAATTGTGATAATCAACTCAGCCCTGAATGCTTGTGTTTTCTACGAAGTAATTCTTCACATAAACTCCCCGTTCCCTCATCCAAATCATATGGAAAGCAATGAAAAGATTCTCATTGGTTTCATCCATCTTATGGCCATGCCCTAGGAGAAGAAAGATTTGTGATCTTATTGATTGCAGCCTCAACAATAAAGTTAATGTACACAGTAATATGCATTTCTAATTTTAGACTACATAGATTGTGTGGTAAATATCTGTGAATAACTTAAATGCTTAATTTTCTCTATTAATTTGCTATATGACTACTAATAACCACATGAGTTAGTCTTGCTTATTTGGTTATCTATTCAAAGTAATGGCTTGTGGTGGAGGAGCTTTATAACACCTTTAATTGTTATGTGGAAGCTCAAGTTGCTGCAGCGATAAAGAATTTAGCTCTAAGTGTATAGATGTTTAGGAAGGGCAAAACATAATGAAACTATAAAAGCAATGAAAAAACCCACCTTTTTTTTTAAACTACTAGACAGTTAAGTAAATTCATTGGGAGTTTTATCTGCATGGACTATAACTGTATGCAAATAATAATAACAATAGAAAGACCCTTCCCAGTATAGACACAGAAGAAAAAAATCAATCTCATATGGACAAAGCACATTACACACCCTGTTTTCCTGAAAAACCTTTTAAGTGGGATCAGATTTTTCCATTAAAGCCTGTTTAGCCTATGAATGACTACTGAGCATTGCATGCAATGTGTTTTGCTGGTAACTATTTTACAAACCATGCATATACATGTCAGACTTTTAAAAAGCCATATCCAAAATGGGATATAGAAGTACCTAGACTCTGTGTTAGGAACTGCAATGGTAGGACAAGGGGTAATGGGTTCAGATAGAAGGAGAGGAAGTTTAGGTGTCCCTGCCCAGGTCAGGGGATTGTGGAAGTTTAGGTGTCCCTGCCCAGGACAGGGGATTGGGACTAGAGGATCTGTAAAGTCCATTCCAACCCTTAAATTCTATGATGATGAGGTACCTTCTTACTCTATGATTTTTATTTTCTATTTCCAATTTTCTTTTTTGGGGTGGAAGAGGGGGACAAAAAGCACAGAAAAATCCTCTAAAACAAATATCTGAGATTTGGGGGGGGAAGAGGGGGACAAAAAGCACCGAAAAATCCTCTAAAACAAATATCTGAGGCTTCTGCTCTTGAGCCACTGGTTGTTTTTCTCAGTGGTTCATCTAGATTATGGGAAGACCTGGTAAGATGTTACAGTGCTGGGAGTCCTGAAAGAAAATGTGAATTATTGACCTGATAGGCTGTGAGTGCAGCAAAAGTTTGAATCCTTGTCACAAAACCCAGAAATGTCTTTTTTTTGGAAGTTTATGGTCTATTGAGCTACGGTAGCTTCTGGCTGTGATTCCACAATAACAGCCTCATCCAACTCATTCAAGTCAATAGGGGATTTGCCATTGAACTTAAAACAAGAGGAAAGGGCCCTAAAATCCTCTAAGAAAGTGTCTTCTGAATGTTGTTTTGACAGTTACATTTAATAAAGTTGCTGCTTTATATACCTGGCAAGAAAAAGATCTTTTTTTATTGGTGGGGTTTTTTTAATAATTCCCTCCTGCCTCAAGAAAATCAGAAAAAGATTACAAATGGAATAGGAACTTGCAAATCAGGAGTAGCTTTGATCTTCCTTCAAGAAGGTTCAGAGATGAATGAAAATGCCCTAACTTATATCATCTTCACCCCAAACGTTAGCAGAACTTGATAGCAAGAAGAGCTGATCTTCCCTAAGCACTCAGTTCACAGGATGCCCTCAACTCTACATGGAGGAAATGTGTCACCTGCCAAAGCAAGAGGGACAGAGCTGCCAGGGAGAATTCTGGACTGCTGAAGGTGGCAACTAGCTGTGTCATTGCAACTCTGCTCATATTTCCCAGCCTTCCAGCAACCTTTGTCCTGCACAGGCTTAAAATACAAAATGGTTGAAATCATACATAAAATAGGGACAACTGTTTGCTGCCCCTGGAAATGGTGTAATTCTAATTGGAGTTATTTGCTGCTCCTGGAAATGGTGTAATTCTAATTGGAGTACACTAAACTTCTGAAATTATGTTCGTTTTTGTCTCTATTATAAAGCCACCTTCCTGAAATTACGTTTGTTTTTGTCTCTATTATAAAGCCACCTTGAGTTTACAGACCAGAGAGTGAAGTATTTTATCTTAAGTATCAGCCTGCTGTGGGAGGCTCAGAGTGAAATATTTTACCTTAAGTATCAGCCTGCTGTGGGAGGCTGTGATTTAAAATATCTAATCACCTATTGGGTCTGAGTGCATGCCTGGCAGAAGCCAAAAAGCCATCTTGTAGTCATCTCTGTTTTTTATATCTCTAGCTGAGAGGTAATAATAAAAGCATATTTTGCACTTCAAAATTATAACTCGCCTCTGTATTCTAGCCAAGCCTGAACTTATCAGTAAACAAACATAAAAAAAGGCAAACAGCACTACTGATTTGTGTTATACATTGTGGAAGTCATTAACTATGACTGAGGTAGCAAAACTTATACGTTCTGTCTTTGACAGTGATGACAATTTAATAGTATTTGACTCCGCTGAGTTACATGGAGCATCCTGCAGCAAAGAGAGAGGTAGTTTATCAAAATGATAAACATGTTTTCATTTCCTCCTTGGCTGCATGTATGTGATCAGAAGTCTAAGGCCATCAAGAATTCACTTATTCTGGCCACCAGACAGACATTAAGCTATTCAGGACCATCTGTGCTTGAAATGAGTTCCACTTAATGGACCTTCCTAGGGCAGGTCAATCATAATGAATGCATGTGTGCATGAATGCATGAGCAAAGCATCACTTAGGTGAGACTTCTTGGGTTGTTTGGCGGTGGCACAGACGGTTGATAGATAAGATATGCCTTTCCTTTCGGGGTCATACGCCGCGTGAGTTTGGAATTCAGATCCTCTGTTAACGTTTGCTTCTAGCTCATTGTCAATGCACTTCACAGCCTAATCCAGATGAAGGTTGTTGTGAGAACCTGTTTGTGTTACTTGCAAGAAAATAGTGATACTCAAACAACTCCATCGTCTTTGCTGGCCAAATTCTTCCTCTGTTACACAGTTAGCAATTCACCATGGGGATACAAGCAAATGGACCAATTTTATCA